CGAAGGTGACTTGGATCACCTTCAGCCACTTCAAATGAAAATATTAAAATACGTAGGCCAGTGAATCCCAGCTTCTGTAGTGAATGAGATCTCCATGCTTAAAAAAAAAAAATCTATGATGAGAGATGTCTGTAGGACAAAATGAAGCTTTTTTCCTTCTTTTTTCCCCTCTTTTCAGAGTAATGCATCATACTGTTTTCATTTTAAACAGGCTTTGGCCAGCTTTTCTTTATCCTATGGTCAGGGCTTGGTTGTGAGTTTATACCTCATTTCTGAGTCAAGGATAATAAATTCATTAATGGTGGTGAGGGGGAGGTGGGTAAAGAAGGTGTTAGGAGGAGGAGGAGAAATATTTTACAATTTTCCAACAGACAAATACTTTTCTGTTTGCTTTTTAAATCTTGATTTGATTTTTAAATACCGTCCTTCCTCCCATTTTAAGTGGCATGACAGTTTTTTTTTTTAAGGTTAAAATGAACAAAATTAAATGCACTTAATGCCTTTGGGTGGCATGTACAGCCATCCTTCAAATGGGGCTGGACATTTGGCTGCCTTGACTGGCGCCTTTCTTCATTGTCAAGGGTTAAATTCTCCTGTTAGCATCCTGTTATGGTCTGAATTTTTGTGTTCCCCCCAAAGTACATACGTTGGAGCCCTAACTCCCAATGTGATCGTCTGTAGAGGTGGGGCCTTTGGGAGGCATAGTTAAATGAGGTCATGAGGGTGGTACTCCGGTGATGGGATTGGTGATCCTATAGGAAGAGAGGAAGACCAGAACTCTCCTCTCTCTCTGAGAGAAGGCGCCATCTGCAAGCCAGGAAGACAGTTCTCACCAGAAGCCTATCTTTTGGCATCTTGATATTAGACTTCCCAGTCTTCAGAACTGTGGAAATAAATGTCTGATGGTTAAGCCATGCAGTCGGTGGCATTTTGTTATAGCAGCGTGAGCCGAATAGAACACACCCCATCTTGCCTTTCCCATCTCCTCAAGTCAGCAGAGTCCCAGGGCCCCTTCCCAAGCCCTTCCCATTCATCTTGGAGGGGACTGTGTTTTGTGTCCCTCTGAGTGTTGTGTCCACTCCAGACTGCACACTCTCATGGGAAAAATTGAAACCCTGGACTGTCACTGGTTTATTTTAGGCAGAAAACTCAAGGACATCATGCTCCAACCTTCTGAGGAACTGTTGTGCTGAATCGGGAAGGAACTCATTCAGCATTGCTGGATTCAAAGGAGGAGTGGATTGGAATTCATTGTGCAAAAGAGATTCTCACCAGTGAGTGCTGTCCAGCATGGGCTGGGGTGACACCCCCCTCTTCCCCCATCATGGAGGAGTGCAAGTATCGGCAAGAAATATTTATGAAAGGACTCATAACCTGACACTCCCGTGGGGACACTCCTGCATGGCTCCTAAGCCTCCCACCCCTCATCTCTGAGAATCTCTGACTTTGCGATTGTTTGAAATGCTATGCTAGGAGTTGAGAAAGCAATGAAAGAAATCCACTGAAGTGAGGACCAAGCTATAAAAAAAATCTTTATTTCATGTACCAGGATTTTTTTCTTTTTTCAGTTTTCTGCTTTTTAAAATTTTTTTCTGTTAACAGTCTGAAAAACAAAAACAAAAACAAGGACCCACCAAGAAAATAAAATGGAGGTTGGTTTCTTGAACTGGTTTGAGCTGGACATGAGCAATCATCCACCCTGGCAAGCAGTGCCCTTGCCATCCCAGGCCTGGCTTCTTCCCTCTGGGCCCCTAGCCCTTTCTCAGCCAAGCGGGGCTCACCCACACTAATGGCCTTCTTCAAGAGGACCCAGGACCCTGGCCTCCCGGCCCGGCCCGGAGAGAGCATGATTTCCATCCCAGACGCCCTGCCAGAACAAATAGGGGCCAGCTGTCCTCTTCGGACAGCGCCTGCTCATCAGTGTGCCTCACCCCCTGTCTAGCTCCTCGAGCCTTTCTGGTGTGAGATCTGGTGGCGTGGAGGGCCAGGCTGGAGCGGGGAGGGAGAGGTCGTGATTTCTGCCCAGACTAGAAACACTGGGTGGCCGCCACACCTGGTCCTGGCCCCCATTGCTCTGCCCCGGGGCCCTGGGGCCTCCCGGGAACTGCAGATCTGCCTTGTGGTTCAGGCTGAATCGAGGGTTCCAGATGCTGCTGACCTACGATCAGAGCTTTCCTTTCCCAGACAAAAGATGGGGAAAGGGAGCTGGGAGTGTGGAAACCCCAAAAGCATTGCTAGCCGCTCCTCTTAACTCCCAGAGCTCAAATGAAGAAACTTCAGGCCAGGGCAGTGCCAAGAAAGAGACGAACCAAGACATGCAAGACAGGGCAGCAGGGCCCCCCACCTCCAGCAGGCTGGGCTGAAATTCAAGCTTTACAAAGTGGTGGGGTTTCTCTCAGTCTGAACTGGCCCCTGTCCCTCTGGGAAGAAAGGGGAGCAACACGGGATGCTGCAGACTTTAGTCTGTGGTGTAAGTTCAGCTTTTGAGGTTGGTCCTCACCCTGGGACCAAAACTTTATAAAGCTCTCCTCTGCATTCATCTCCTGGCCTTCACCACTCCCAGAGGGCCTCGGAGGGTCCTCTTTTTCTCTGGCCCCTAAAGGGAGTGGGGGAAGCATGGTGGCTGGCGTCTTCTCACAAGGAAGCCCCCTCCCCTTTCTGTGACTGGGTTATGGCATTAAAGGGGACACAGAAGGGAGAGTGGCCTTGGGGACCTCTGGTGCCTTTTCCCGCTCTGTCTGAATGGCAGGATATGTTTGCTCACGTGTGTGTAGTTTTTGCTTTGACGTTGGATGTGGGGGCAGGGGGTTGGGAGCACAGTGAGGAGGCATATGGTGTGTGTGTGTGTGTGTGTGTGTGTGTGTGTGTGTCTGAACAGCTGACCGATAATTCAGAAATGTTCTCGATGTTTTGGGGCTGGATGGCAGCTATTTTGGTTGTCTCTGGCATCTTCCTCTGGGCAGGTGGCATGTCTTTTTACAAGTCCTCAGCGCCAAGAATAAGAATGAGCCTTCGGAGCTCATCTGGGTCAATCCACATGCTTATTACACAGGGGAAACTGAGGCCCGGAGAGGCCACACAGCAAGGGGTTTCAGAATTCAAAGCTGGATTCTAGACTGGTGCCCTTTCCATGCATGCAAGTGATGTGCATGTGTGTGGTGGGAGGGCACTGCGAGCATACATGCCAGTGGAGGGCTGCTGTCCATGGCTTTGGAGGGCATGAGTCATCTTCTCTGAAGCCTTCCTCTGCCTGTGTGTGGGGATGGAAGGGTTCAGATGGCACGTGTGTCCCTGTGAGTGATTCTAGCGCTGGGCTTCAAGGGCTGTATGTGTGTGTGTTGGTGTTGTGCGATCTCATTGTGAAGAGAGGACTCTCCATGTGGTTCTCTCTCTCTCCCACGTTAGCAGCGCCTTCCTGGTCTAAGGAAGAGATCTCCGCGATAGGAACGCCCTGCGGCTCCCTAGGGCCTTTTCTCTCTCCCTCCTGCCTTAAGCCCAGCTCTGATCTCTCACAATAGTATTTTTAAAAAATGGATTTGTATATTTGTTTTGTTTTCTCTTTACAAGTTCCCTGCTAAATTTTAAGTCCCCCACCCACCCCATTTTTTTGTTTTGTTTTTGTTTTCACAGTTTAAAGCTGGAAAAGAATGAAAAGAAAAATACTATCTGGTTTTCTTTCGAGTAAATCCACGTATTATATATTTACATTTATTTATAGTCTGTGGTTTTTTTTATTAAAAAAAAAAATCACCACTTGTTTTTTCCTTTTTCTTTTGTAAAAAGAAACCTTTTTGCAATTTCATTGTTGGACCCACTGAACCCCAAGGGGGCTTCAGTGAGTCTAAGGACCCCCAAAGGGTCAGTGAGCCCCTTTCCCAGGGGACTGCGGGCCTATGAGTCTGGGGGTCCGCCATCGTCCCAGGGTCATTGAATGGCCCTGAGGTGAGGGGGTGAGGAGGGAGAGCTGCTTTATATCCCCGGGGGTTGGGGGGGTGGGATTTCCTGCCCCCAAGGACAGGATCTTGGGGTTTTGAACCCAAGAGGCTCACCCTGAGGATTCCGGGGTTTCTGGGCATCTCAGCAAGCCACCAGCAGCCATCCCTCTCCTTCCTTTCCCTCAAGGCCTAGGAAGTCATCACAGTGGGTTAAGGACCGTTAAGGACTGGGAACCTGGGGGCTGGGCAAGCCCCAAGTGCACCCCCCCTCCAGGTACCTTTCGGACAGGAGGGACCAAGGACTCATGGGTCACCTGGAGGCCTATAACTGCCCCATCCATGCTGGGTGGAGTGGCCTCGCAAGCCAGGAGCTTGCCCAGCATTCCTGGGGCACCCATCCAGAGGCTCCAGGGACCTGGCAGTGACCAAGAGGCTCGCCTGGCCCCGGGGCCTCTGAGTCTCCATCCCCACTCGCCCAGGGAGGCAGAGCCCTCTTGGGGTTAAAGGGAACACAAAAGTAACTCTCCCAGAGCTTAAAAAAACAAACAAGCAAGTAACATAAAGCCCTGATTAAATACAAAGAACATCTCCTTTCCTTTCTGTTCCTTCTCAGTTTTTTTTTTTTTTTTGCTTTAATGTTATCTTAGTTCCCTTTTATTTTTTCATTTAAATTGGTTTTTATTAAATGTTAAAATAATGGTACATGGGAAATCATGCATTTTCTTTTAGATTTATTTTCTATTTTTAATTTTTATCCTCTCGCTGTTTTTAAAGTTTGTTTTTCTCTTCCCTCATTTATGTGTTGTTCACATTTTCTGTTGTTTGGCTTCTTTGTTCCTCTTATATTTTGTTCTTTTTTTTTTTTAATTTACTTATGTTTTTCTCTTTTTTTTTCTTTTTTTTCTTTTTGAAGGTTCCCCTCCCCAACCCCCCCCCCCAGTGGATGGTTTGGTTTCCCCCACCCTAGCCCTACCCCCAGGCGCACCCCACGAGCCTGGGCCGTGCCCCCACTCTCCAGCTCTGCCCGGACCTGGCAGGGCAGGCGCTAGCGAGGGCCCCGCGGCTTCATACGGGGGTGGTCCGGCGGTTGGCTGTGTTGGAGTGGAGAGAGTCTTTGTTCTCCTTCTGGATACAGTTGTGAACTTGGAGGAAGCTGTTATCCCTGTCGGAGTTGTAGGTGGCGGTGGGCGTGGTGGTGGCCTTCAGGGGGTCCCTGCTGAGGGTGTACATAGAGATCTCCGTGGACGGCAGGGTGTTGAAGCCCTTGAGGCCCACGGGGGAGGCGTCCCTGGAGTGAGAGGGCTCGGTGGAGCGGGAGCTGGAGCGGCTGCGGCGCTGATAGCGGTAGCGGTAGCTGGGGATGCGGGTGATGGCGGAGGCCTGGAGGTAGTCCGTGGCGCGGGCCGTGGCCCGCAGCTGTTTGTGCCGGTCGATAAACATGTGCACGGCCAGCACACCGACCATCTCGGCGATGATGAAGGACAGGGCCCCGAAGTAGAAGGACCAGCCATACGAGTAACTATTCTTTTTGGAGTCGCTCTTGGAGGGGTCTCCGGCATTGGCAGATATGTACACTATGATGCCAATGATGTTACTCAGACCTGTGGGACACAGGGTGGGCACAGAGGGGACGGGGGCAGAATCAGAGAGAAGGATGTTAATTTCCAAGCAGAATGCCAGGCGCTTGGGCAGGATTAAAGGACATGGACGGTTGCCCTGGCTGGTGTGGCTCAGTTGGTGAAGCATCTTCCCATGCACAAAGCTTGCTGGTTGGATTCCCTGCTAGGGCATATGCCTGGGTGAAGGGCTGGTGTGCAGAAGGCAGGCGATGGATATTCCTCTCTCTCTCTCTCTCTCTCTCTCTCTCTCTCTCTCTCTCTCTCTCTCTCTCTCTCTCCTCTCTTCATTCCTCTCTCTAAAATAAATAAAAACATTAAAGGGGGGAGCAGGGACAGTTGGATGGGCCTTTGTTTTCACATCCCTATATGCTTGCCTGTCCATGCACTGTGAAAACAAAGGCCCATCCAACTGTCCCTGCTCCCCCCTTTAATGTTTTTATTTATTTTAGAGAGAGAGGAATGGAGAGGGAGAGAAAGAGAGAGAGAGAGAGAGAGAGAGAGAGAGAGAGAGAGAGAGAAACATCCATCGCCTGCCTCCTGCACCCCTGTAGAGGATCCAGTACCCGGGGAGGGCTGAACTTAAAGTTCCCTTGTCTGTGAAACCTTCACTGACATCCTTAAGCAAAGTTTTTAGGTCCTTCTTCTGCTCTTTGGGATTTAGGCCCTTTTCTAAGAGGTGGAAGGAAGATGGACCATTGGGCTAAGGGACAGGGTCTGGGATATTCCTGGAATCAGTGGGGGGAGGGAGGTCAGGCAGGAGCCCTAGCACAACCTGTCTTCCCCTCAATAGGACCTGTTGTAAAGCCCAGAGATTCCTCTCCTCCTCCTCCTCCTCCTTCCTTTCTCCTCCTCCTCCTCCTCTCTGGTTCAAGTCCTCCCAGCCAGTGAGCACCATTCCTCAGCCTTCTCCCCACTGGTGGGCCCGGGCTCTGCCTGCCTAGCTCAGTGGTCATTACCTGCAGACACGAAGAAGATGCCAGCACTCAGGATGATGTTATGTCGAGTCTTGTAGAACTCGCTGGCTGCGATGCAGAGTCCACCCATGAAAAGTAGAATCACGCTCAGGATCGGGAAGATGCTTGAGGCCCTCACGGCCCCTGCAGAACATGGAGGGTCAGGGAGAGAAAGAACGTGGCTGTAAGGCTGAGGCATGGTGGAGGGAGGAGATGGCTGCGCACAGGTATGGGGTTTGCACAGGTATGGGGTTTTATGGACACAGGATCCAAGTCGAGGTTGCTTAGCAATACCAGGGAGGAGGGAGAGGGAGCGAGCCACTGCCCAGCTCACAGCCCTGCAGGGGCTCATCTCTGCCGACAGGCCCCAACTCCAGTGCCCCCTGAGTGCCCCTTATGTGACTTGGCCTCTGCCTATGTTCCCTCTTGTCCAGCCACAGCGAACTTCCCATATCATGTCATTGCATGTCTCTGACTTTGACATACTAAGCTTTTTTATTAGAATATTTTTCTTGCTCTTTTTAACTCCGTAAACTTCTATTCATCCATTAAAACCTAACTTAAAATTCCCTTGTTTGGGGGTATTTGGGGTATATTGAGAGGCAGTACATTATAGTGGCCAGGGAATCACATGACCTGGATTTGAATCTGGCTTTAGCATCTATCAGCTGTGTAAGTTTGGGTAAGTTACCTCACCTCTCTGTGCCTCATCTATTTTATAGTTTCCTCATCTATAAAATGGGGATGGAAATAGTGTCTGCCTCCTAAGGTTGTTGTGAGGATTAAATGAGTTGATTCTGACAGTGCACCTAGATAAGTCTTTGAGGGCATACAGTAAACATTTGATGAATGGGAGTATCGGGTGGGAATGCGTGGGGTGAACCCTAGCTGGGTGAGAGTAAGAGGGCAAGGGATTGGGGGCAGCTGGGTTACTCTGCATTCTCAGCACTCTTTCCCTTCTGCCTCCAGGCAGGGATGGAAGTACCTCCTCACCAGACCTGCATGGTCTCTCCCTGCAAGTAGTTTCTAAGATAAGGTGCTGTATCCCCATCCTGAGCCTCAGCCACACATCTGCACATGCACGCATGTCTGCTCAGATGTGCACAGTCAAAGCTACCTGCTTCCTCATCTTCAGAAGCACACAAGATTGATGAGAGCTTCTTGAAGACCCAAGAGAGAGATAATGCTTGTTGGGTCTTGAGTGTGTACCTGACATACATTATATAACCCTCACAGTAGCCCTTCATCTATGTTTTTTTTAGCTCCAGTTGATAGATGAGAAAACCGAGGTTCTGAGAGGTGAAGTAAGTTCACCTCTCAGAGTGGGGATTATGCAGTTAGTCTCACCCAAGTTCAAATGTCTGTTTGACCTTAGACCAGCGTCTTTACCCCACTGAGTCTCAGTTTCCCCCTTCTGTAAAATGGGAAGAGCAAGATAACATCCAGCTCACAGGAATGTTGTAAGGCCCTGTGCTCAAAGGGTAGTCTGAGCAGCAGCACAGACCTCATGGGGAACTTGCTAGAAATGCAGGTTCTCAGGTCCCGCCTGACCTACCTACTGAACCAGAATGTACATGCTAACAAGACCCTCATAATAAGACTTGTATGCGCGCAACAGTTCATAAGGATTAAATTGGGTAATATCTGCATTGTTTCTGACACTTCAAGGAATACAGTAAAAGAATTGTTATGATTTCTAATGCCCCATCCCCTTCAGTCCAGACACAGCTTCGCCATGAATCATTTTGACTTTCCACTGAAGCTGGTGTGGTCTTAGTGCTAAAATCTATCACAAGAAGCAGAAAATAGCTGATTTACCCCATGAACAAGTATTTATTGGCCTGTGAGCATATGGAACTACACAATAGCCACTAATATTTAGGCAGCTCTTCCTATGTGCTGGGTCCTCTAATAAGTGTCTTCCACAAGATAACCCATCTAAACCTCACACCAGCCCCATGAAACCATGGGCCTTGGCTTTGAGAAGATTCCACATTCTGAAATCAGGCAGTGGCAAACTTTTTCTATAAAGGAACAGATCATAAGTATTTCTGGCTTTGCGGGCCATACAGTCTCTGCTGCAACTACTCAGCTTTGCCATGGTAGCGTGAACCTAGCCATAGACAATATGTAAACAAGCAAGTGTGGTTGTGTTCTAATAAAACTTTATTTATAAAAACAGTTGGTGAGCCAGATTTGGCCTGCTAGTTGCAGTGCAGCCACCCCTGGCTGAGTCCCTAATAAAGGCTGCAAGGCCTCGAGCAGGGAGATGCTTTGCTCTTGACGACTGGAAGTCCAGTGAATAGATACAGGCTGAGTGCTGGCCACTGTGCCAGGTTCCAGGCTAGGCGTGAAGACAGAGGAATGCAAAACAGGCCGGGTCCATGTCTTTACAAGGCCTACAGTCTCATAGACAAGATATATGTCCAATAATCGCAGATAAACAGTTATCAACTAGGATGGTGTTATGAAATAAAGATGCCGTGTGGCACCATGAAGGCATGGGACAAGCTAATGTTCACCGAGTGTAGCTATTTGTCCAGGGCCACCCAACAGAGACAAGGGGGACCTGGGTTTGTGAAGCTCTAAGCTCTGTGTGCCTGCCACTGCACTCGCCTGCTCTCCTGCCTCTTGGAGCCTCTTCTGAGTCCTGTGGGGCTCAGGGAGGGCTTCTCTGAGGCAGTGATGTTGGAGCTGACCTCTGATGGATAGGGGGAAGCTAACTGGGCAGAATAGAGGCGGGATGTGGAGAGTGTTCCAGGGAGAGGAAGCAGCATGAGTGAGGGCTTGTCCAGGGAACTGAAAGGAGCTGGATCGCTAGGAGCTGGTGGAGGGGCCGGGGAAAGAACTGAGGGAGATGGAGCCACTGGGGCCAGGCCACACGGGTTTGTGGGTCACCGGGGACCTGTGGGCCGTGCTCCAGAGCTTACCTTTATCCAGAACAATGGGCAACATGAAAGGGCTTTAAGTGGGCAGGACTGTCACAATCTGATTTGCATCTTAAGAAACACATGGATTCTCAACAATAAAGATATAAAAAATACATATCCTCAGGTGAGGAGTAAAAAGCACACAGATTAAGAAGAGGCCAAGGGTGAGTACAGGGAACCAGTGAGAGAGCTATTGCAGTGGGAGGGCTAATGTGGCTGGCCAGATAAGTGATGGTGCTTGGACCAGGGTGGGCACAGAGGGTCTGGGCAGAACTGGGTTTGAGGGGTGTTGAAGAGGTGAAGGAAGACTCGGTGATGGTGGATAGGGATACACTGGCTGGGGAGGACTTCCAGGCTCTTAGTCATCTCTCCCTCTCTCCTCCTTCCACACTGTGCAGGGTGGGGTCACTAGTGACTGTGAAAGGGGGCAGGTTACAGCAAATGCATGCATGAGTGCAGGTGCGTGAGTGTGTGTATGTGTGAGAGTGTGTGTAAGAGAGTGTGTGAGAGAGTATGAGTATATGTGAGTATGTGTGTGAGAGTATGAGTGTGCGAGTATGGGTGTGATTGTGAGTGTGAGAGTTTGTGTGTGTGTGTATGTGAGTGTGAGTATGTGAGTGTGTGAGAGAGTATGTGAGAGTGTGTGTATGTGAGAGAGTGTGTGAGTGTAAGAGTATGAGTGTATGTATGTGAGTGTGTGTGAGTGTGATTGTGAGTGTGAGAGTATGTGTGTGTGAATATATGAGGGTGTGTGAGTGTGAGAAAGTATGAGTGTGATTGTGAGTGAGAGAGCATGTGAGAGTGTGTGTATGTGAGAGTGTGTGAGGGAGATGAGAGGAGAGAGAAAAGGGAGAAGGAAAGGACGTGGGAGAGAGAGAGAAGGTGTTATTGGAGAGGAGAGAAAGAGAAATAGGAAGAAGATGGTGGGTGAGGAGAAGAGGGAGAAGTCGAGAGTGGTGGTTGGGAGCATGGGCTCCAGAAATGGGCTGCTTGGGTCCCATCCTGGCCCTCCCCATCTTTGTGGCCTCTGTGCCTCCCCTTTCTCATCTGTATAATGGACAGGAGCACTCGGCTCTGTCTGACCTTCTCCCTGCAGTATCTTCCTTTTGGGGTGGACGTGCAGATGGTGAAGATAATGCACAAAGTTCTAGGCCTGGCCCCGACACAGCCGGGCATCCAGTGAACGTTTGCTGCATGTAATGACACATGAACGGAACTTGGAAGCTCACCGAGCGTCCTTCGGGAGCACCATCTGTGCAGGTCCTGGGAGCCTTCCCAGTTCCTGTCGTCTGGGGTTGGTGGAGAGAGCGGCCTGCCCCGTCTCCCTCGCTGAACTGCCTGCCCTGCCTGAGCCTCAGTTGCCCCGGGGAACTGCAGGGAGAGGGTCAGACACCGGCTCAGAGGGCTGCCGGATGTCCTGAGTAAGTCACTTTAAGCAGTTAGAACGGTGCCTGGTGCTGAGAGCACCGGGAAATGCTGGCTCTCCCTGCAGGAGAGCTTATTGTTGCTGTTCTCCCTGGGCCTGCAGTTACCCGGGTTGGTGTTGGTTCAAGTGCAGGTTGTGACTCATGACTAACTCCTGTAGTCAGCCAGCTCCTGAATGAGGGGCCAGGACCGAATAGAAATTGCCACCTGTGCACAGCAGGCGGAGGGCAGGCCCCGTGTTGTGAAATGTAGGCTCTGGTTGCCTGGATGTGAGCACCAGCTGCAGCTGAGCCGGATCCCTAACTGCAAGGATCCGTCACCACAGTTCTGGCCACACTGACCATGGCGACCTCTGCTGGGAACAGTTTTGCTAGAAGGGGCTGTAGGGCTTGGATAGTGGACAGGAGTACTCAGCCCTGCCTAACATTCAGGGGGGCACGCGGCATTCCAGGTAGTGTACTGGGCTGGGTAGGCCATTTAACCTCTCTGGGCCTCGGTATTTCCTCATCTGTTCAATGGGAGGATGGGGCTGTGTGTGCAGCTCCAGCATTTCAGGAGCTTGGAGGCTGTATCGCTGTGTTTCTATCCTCTAACCCAGTGGTCAGCAAACTGCAGTTCACAAGCCACATGTGGCTCTTTGGCCCCTTGAATGTGGCTCTTCCACAAAATACCACATGAGAGTGATTGAAACTTTGTGGCCCATGCGCAGAAGTCGGTTTTCAGCTCTCAAAAGAAATTTCAATCCTTGTACTGTTGATATTTGGCTCTGTTGTCTAATCAGTTTGCCGACCACTGCTCTAACCTGAAGCGGGGTGATGGACTTCTCTCATGTGATCCATGGGCAGCAGGGACGCTCTAACAAAGCACCACTGACCTTTGTCTCAGAGCCCCTCCCAGGGACTGCTATTCATCGAGGCTCAGAGAAGTTGTGTAACGTGCCCAAGGCCACAGAGCAGACCTCACCTTGAATTCAGGTCTTTTCCCTCTAAATCTAAAGCTCTGACCTTGACACCTGGTATTCCCCACACTCCCCATGCTTAGGTACCTAGGAGACCCCTCAGTGCCTGGTGGGCCCAGCATAGGGGGGCGGAGAAAGGAAGCAAGGGAGGAGGGGGTGCTCTGAGGCTGGGAAGAGTGGTTTTGACTCAGCTTGAGACCTTGCATCCACCTCTGTTCTCATTCTGGGACGAGGGTAGATGTGCCAGGGGGTCTGGGAAAGGTGGACTCTCATTTACTCATTCAGCAAACATCTCCAGCTGGCTGAGGGGTGGAGAGAACTGTCTGTCTGCAGCTACTCAGAGGAGTCAGCTGTTCATGGTCCAAGGGGCAGGGAGAAGAATCCGTAACAAATCATGACATGCAGGTTGGGGCAGAGGATCCTTCAGGAATGATCCCTGTCTTTTAGATGCTCCAACCAACCAGGTTAGAGCTTAATGGAGAGTGATAGGAACTCACATCTTCCAGGTTAAACAATTACTTTTCTTGTCTAGCTCAAGATTAGGATGTTATAGGTCAGGAGTCAGCAAACTGCGCTGTATGTAACCTGTTTCTGTATCTACAGTTGTTTCATTTCCTTCTGTTTGTCTGTGCCTCTTCTGTGCTCCAAGGTTAGTTGAGTAGTTGGGACAGACTGTACAGTCTGCAAAGCCTAAAATATTTATTATCTGTCCTTTTACAGAAAAAGTTTGCCAACCTCCTATTATAAATGCTCAAAAATATTGTTGGATTTGGTCACCTCAGACCCTCGGACCCTGCACTGCTAATATATGTTCAAGTCTTTTGTTCAAGGACACCAGAATGAACCCAATGCTTGAAGTTCTTCTCTCTTTAAGAATTGGGAAATGAAGGTGCAGAGTAGGTAAGGGATGGTCACCTAAGAATCCTGTTTTCCTTTATTTAACAAGCAGCATTGATTGAGCATCTACTATCTTCCAGAAGCTGTTAAAGGCACAGCAAAGAATGAGACAGGGTTCCTACTGCAAGCACTTGGCACCTAGCGCTGCTGGACCATTGGGGCTGGGCTGTGGGGCTGAGCTTTGCCCCTGCCCACCTCTGTGTGCAGGATGCATCTCTCCATGTGGGTCTCCCAGTCCAGCAATTTCCCTGAGGGTCCTCCCCACGTGGTCTTCCCAGGGCCATAGACTGTCTCATTCATGCCTCTCGATCTTCTCAGCCCTGAGTACAGGGTTAGCACATGGGCAGTGTTCAATCAGCCTTCTCACTATTGCCAGACTCCTGTGGGGGCCCCAGACGTGGTAACAGGGAACACAACCAAATGGCCCTTTAGGAATTCAATTTATGAGCGGCGTCTTGCAGAACGTCATAAAAATAAACGATGAGCATTGTCAGATATTCTCCCTCATTTAAAAAGAAATCTATAAATTGCATCATGCTCCCTTCCTTCCTCTTCCCAGCTGCCTGGCTGACGTCATGCTCTGTGGCTTCTCCGCGAAACCCGATTCCAGGCTGACCTGAGATTGGCTTTGATGTGAGGAGTATTTATTGAAAGAGATGGGTGATCCATAAAATAAAATGCCTTCTGCATTTTTCATAAGAGTCATCGGAGGGTAATGCTAACTCCTCTGTCTTGGGAGAGAGGTGGGTGCGGGGCGGAGGGGGTGTTCCTGGGAGGAGAGAGATGGTGAGAAGGCAGGCCTAAGAGCCTTTATCCACTTCTGCTCAGCGGCTTTGCTGTCCCAGGTGTCAAGGACCCTTAGCCTCTCTCTTGGAAATCCATTTTTCAGGGAACATTTCATCTTGTTAGTTTTTGCCTATTCTTGAGGACTTTTTTGGGGGGACTCAGAGGCTTTCTCTTGCTAATATGTGCCAGGTGGATTTAAGATCACAGCTATTGCATCAGGATTTAACTTTGACTTGAATTGTGGGGGAAGAAAAAGAATCTCACATTGTTTCCGTAGAAGTTCTAATCTGGCACTGCCTGACGAGTATCTTCATTCAGTTATTTAAGAAATATTTACTGAGGGCACTGGGCTGGACATATAATGCAAACAAAATGGGAAGAGCCCTGGCTAGAGTGTTGGTAGGACAGTGAAGGAGATGGTTGCTCAAATAGACAAGGACTCTATAGCCTGATGAAAGTGCTGTGCTCTGGGAATCTGTTCAGGGGCCTGGAGGGCTTCCTGGAAGAGGTGACGTTTCAGCTGAGACCTGGTGGATCTGTAGGAATTTGCCAGACAAAGAAGGGAGGGAAAGGTGTTGCAGGCAGAGGGAACAGCATGCAGGAAGGTACTGTAGTTTTGCTACTGTTAATGAATCATAATCATAATGTAAATATCTGTGTTTTCCGATGGTCTTAGGCTCTGATCTTGCATGTAATTTTGCTACTGTTAGTGAATCATAATGTAAATATCTGTGTTTTCTGATGGTCTTAGATCTATCGCAGGGTCGCCTAAGACTATCAGAAAACACAGATATTTACATTATGATTCATAACAGTAGCAAAATTACAGTTATGAAGTAGCAGCAAAAATAATTTTATGGTTGGGGGTCATCACAACATGAGGAACTGTATTAAAGGGCCGCGGCATTAGGAAGGTTGAGAACCACTGTTCTAGACAGTCCTGGTGTTTGTGCTGCAAAGGTTGGAGGGCAGAACCCATCACCATGAAGGAGATAAAAATGGCTTGCACTCACGGAGGAAATATTCTGCTGTGTCAGCTTCGTAATCTGTATCCTCTGGGAAGTGATCAATTTGCTTGCAGAGACCTTTGAAGTTCCCTGGAAAACAAGAGGAGAGAGGACACATGAGACATCATAGTTTCTGGGGTTCAGACCACGGGCCTCTTTTGAAGCTGGCCCGGTCTCTCCCTCACTCTTGAAGGGAGGTACGTTTTTGTCTGTGTGGACATCCTCCTGGTGAATCAAAACGTGCAGTGCTGGAGAGAGGATCTAAGGCCGAGAACTTCAAAACCCAGCCATCCACGGAGGCTTCTGAGGATTAGCTGAACTTGGCGGGTGGTGGAGGTTTGATTCGGGGCCGGGGACTGCCGCAGAGGACGCCCACGAATGATGAACCGGGTGTGGTCACCCCTGTGCCCTCGCTCCCCCACAGTCACCCCACCATTTGCATGAGAGAAAACGGATAGCTTTCCAAAGAAGGCAAACCCTAAAATGCTGCTGACAAACATCCCCACAGCACTTTGGGTAAGCTTGCAAAAGCGCCATCCTATCAGCAGGGCATGGAATTCACGACACCCAGCCACCAACAGCTCTGAAATGCAGGGGGTGAGCTCCCCACTGAGGGGCCTTGGACTAGACTCATTCTGGCTCTACCACAGGCCTCTGAGGGGGTATTTTTATCCCCATTTTACAGATGAAGAAACCGAGGCTCAGGGAGGCTAAATTAATAAGTACTTGTGCTAGGAAATTGTGGAATCAGGGCTTTTGACTAAATATTTGCTCAGTGAGGAGGTGAGAACTGGCTCAGGTTAAAACCCCATCCCAGTGCCACAGCAGGTGCTAAGCAGTCACTAAGTGAGTGAGTGAACTATGCAATGCAGTCTCCATAAAGACAGATGCGCAGAATAGAATATACAGCCATGTCCACTTTATGACAGCAGGGACTTCTGTGTCCCCAGCACCAGCATAAGGACAACAAGTGTTGGGTAACTTCCCCTATGCTGGGAGATAAGGTGCAGGGGTGAGAGGCTGGGAGATATGGTGCAGGGGTGAGAGGCTGGGAGATAAGGTGCAGGGGTGAGAGGCTGGGAGATATGGTGCAGGGGTGAGAGGCTGGGAGATAAGGTGCGGGGGTGGCAGGTTGGGTGATAAAGTGCAGGGGTGAGAGGCTGTGAGATAAGGTGTAGGGGTGAGAGGCTGGGAGATTGGTGCAGGGGGTGAGAGGCTGGGAGATAAGGTGCAGGGGTGGCAGGTTGGGAGATAAGGTGCAGGGGTGAGAGGCTGGGAGATAAGGTGCAGGGGTGAGAGGCTGGGAGATAAGGTGCAGGGGGTGAGAGGCTGGGAGATAAGGTGCAGGGGTGAGGCAGATTCAGCCTCACTGATATGCCTCAGTTTCCTCACCGGAAAGTAGAGACCTTCGCAGCTGGTTAAGGGGATTAGATGAGCTGACACATATAAAGTGCTCAGAACAGCGCCTGGCACATTAGTGAACGTGCTCGAGGGCATTGCTGTGAGAGAGAAATGGATTTGGACTATATTCAGCCACTGACATTGGGGATTTTTCTGTGACAGTAGCTAATATAACCTAATTAATACACAGCCCTCAGTACATGCTAGCAATTTATTTTCCTAGAGAACTCTGGGCCGCACATCCCATAAAGAAGGCTTTATTGTATGCTGTGGAAACTGTTTATGAATTTTAAAGCATTGTAACACAGACCTGTCTATTACATACACCTGCATCTATAGGACATGGGTATACTTACATGAGATAAGTGTTTTGTTTATTTCTAGCTATTGTTATTATGCTACATATTACAGAGAAGATGGTTGACCCTCCGCATCTCCCATTCGCTGTCTCTGTATCAGATTCACCTCCTTTTCTGACTTCTGCAAGAAAAAGGATTCCCTAAAGCATTTCGAGATTTCTGGCAACTTTACGGAAGCTTTGTAGGGTCCCAAGAGCTCAGTTTCACCCCAAATGCTCCCAAGGCCAGGTCTCTTCTCTGAGTGCCTGGGCAGTCCCTCTCCTTGCTCCCTTCTCCCCCAGACTTGTTGTCTCCCCGCCTCTCTGTCCTCCGAGCACACCTGCCCTGCCCTCGTGCATCTTGGCTCATAAACCAGTTAACTGCCATAATATTTTGAATTTAATGAAAAAAGGTTGCGCCTATAGATGCTTATGGCGTACAAATGGTTAACAGGAGGCCTCAACTCCCTGCCCCTAGCAGCGTCTCCCTCTTTCCAACTACACCCCCCTCTCTCCTGAGAAGTGTCTTTATACCAGCTGCTAAGTGGATCTACTATCCTCCTAGTGTTAAAATTACAAATCAGTGTGTTTGAAAAGCACTTTGCAAAGCACTTCCATTTTCTCTCAATTCAATATGACAAATATTTCATCAGCGCCAGCTCTATCCCAGGCATCTTTCTTTATAAGGAAGCCTGCAGGAGCTGAAGTGTGGAGAATGATCCTGACATGCCCCAAGTCTCCTAACAGATCGGGGACAGTGCTCAACCCCGAACCAAGGGCTCGCAGGGGGAGCCTCCACACCCCTCTCCTGAGGGTGCATGCCCACACCTGCTCCCCACACAGCCTGCCTGCCCTCTGCACAAGCCTGGGCCTCAGCCACCTTTGGACTGACTGTTGGCTCCTAGCACAGTGCTGAGCACAGAAGAAGGGCGAAGAGATGCTTGTTGGAAGGCTGTGTGAAATAAGCAGCTGCATGGACCTCTCCTGTGAGGTCCAGACCTGGGTAGTCAACTGCCTATTTGATGTCTCCTGGTGGATGTCTTAAAGGGACCATATGCTCAGCAGGTCCAAACCTGAACTATGATCTTTCCCTTAAGCCTGGTCTTCTGGAGGCACCAACTAGCTCAGTGAATACCTCTCCATTGCTTCCTAGTGCACGTTTGAGCCCAGCCATCATTGCTGACATCTCTTCCTCCTCCTCACTGCAGGTTCATGATATCCTGCTGTATTAGCTTCTCAGGACCTCTCTAAATCATTGATTGCTCCCCATTGACAATATCACCCACTGCCAGGCCACCTTCCTTGCTTCCCTGGAGGACTGCAGTAAGCTCCCCACTGGTCATGTTGCACCCACTCTTATCCCTCTCTACAGAGTTCTCAAACTGGTCCTTGGAAAATGCCAATCTGATCAGGCCATCTCCAGCTTAAAATACTCAACAGCTTCTCTGTGCTCTTAGGAGAAAGCTCAACAGCCTTGGTTGTCCTCACCTCTCTGGGACATGCTTTCTTGGCCTTCCTTCTGGTGTGTTCCTTCTTACCATAGGATCCTTGCACATGCTGATCTGGCTGCCTGAGCCCCCACCACATCCTTTGTTGCCTCCTTGCCTCTACCTCCCAGTGAGATGTCTACCACCCTGCTGGCTATTGTGTGTTGGGGAGATGTTAAGGCATGCGTGACACTGGTGAGAATGTTCCAGTAGAGGAAGGAATTGGCCCAGAAAAAGGAGGGAGCAATTTACAAGCAACATGAGGGGGATGAGGTCCAGGACACACGTGCAAGGATGGTCTTTGATGGGTATAGCAGTGTTTCCCAAAGTGTGGTACGCGTACCCCCAGGGGTACGGGAAGAGTTTGGTGGAGGTACATGTTGCACTGGAGTTTGGTGGGGATGTGCTCTGCACCATGCTTAGCTGCGCCTAATTCTACGTTGTCATGAGTACGAGGGGTACTCAGCGTTAAGAAAATTATAGAAGGGGTACACACATGTCAAAAGTTTGGGAAACACTGGGTAGATGATGGCCTGTTCCATGCACCAGGAGGGCAGGAGACACATGTGGGTAGACACGGTGGGAGCTTGTGACCCTTCTCTTCTGATTGCTTCTATTTTATTGATGGAATGGGAAGCAGGAACATGAACTGAGAATTAGGAAGGGGAGGCAGGTTTGGAGTTTTCGAGGAAGGAGGAAGGGAGTCAAATTTTTCTCCACAAGAAAGGGAGATAGAATGGACCAGGCTTGAGACATGAAGTATGTATGTCAGGGGCTTCAAGGTCCCTCTTGAGATCCTGTGGTTTTCTCAGGCCACATGTAGGCATGCCGCTGCAATTTATCTAGGTGGAGGGTTGCCTTTAACCAGGATGGGGGTCTGTGAGGAGAGAGTAAGAAGAGTGGGGGGAGTGATTATGAAAATGGACAGGCCCGAAGCTGGGTAAAGAGGGCAGTGGAAAGATGGGCGTCAATGCATTGGCAGCTAGGGTGGGGCTCAGAGAGTTGTTAGAGTCAGGGCTCAGAGTGAGCTGAAAGGATGGGACCTAGGAGTCCAAGAGTGGAAGCAAAAGACTGAGATTGTGGAGTGTGGTTATTGGTAATCTCAGGGCCAAGTGCAAACCCATGAACTGTGTGGCTCAGGTTGCAAGGAGGTAGGGGTGACATTCAAAGTGTTTAGCAACTGGAAAGGGCATCCAAATTAACATATAAGACAAAACTACAGTTCATGTTCATTGTCTGTGTACATGGAGTCTATATTACAAAACTGCTTACTCAGTTAAAAGTTGAAGTGCAAATAATTCATCACGTTATCCTAATTAGCCCCGAATTATCGGTTGGTTTTTAGAAATTATTGGTGTGATCTTTCGATGATGAGGCTCTCACAAGCTCAATGACGGCCCTGTGTGGACTACGATTTGACACAGGGAACCACACCAGATGCTCCTGGCCCTTCTCTGCTCAGCACTAGTCATTCATTCCATCTCAGTGAGTACTGAATCTTAGTACTGAGTTTTCTCCCACTCTGGTCTGACGACTTCTCTGTGAAAATGGCCCTCCATCCTCAGCAACCCAGCAGGTGGGATTGATGGTGGTGAGGGGGAGGGTGGAAACCTCAGAGGTGGTCATCAAGCCCAGTGTTTGTATGGCTTCAGGCACAGATGGATCCAGGTGCTCAAAAAATCTGGTGTTGGCCTTCCTCCCAGGTGGCTTCCTTCTCAAGCAGGCTCTCTCCCCAAGAGGAGACCAAGGCTAAATGCCTGGCCCAGGGTGGTGGAGGGAAATCTACCTGACCCCTGCCCTTCAGGGACACACAGTCTGGAGGGAAAGACAGAAGGTACAGGATGTAATTTAATTTACTAGAATAT